CCTGTGTGAAATCAGGATGTATTTTACAATGAATCAGCATGCATTGTAAGGCTTCTTTTTATTTCCTTAAGTCTATTCAATCAATAATGCATTTTGGAATCCAGGTGATATGGCAGTATTTTAACTATCAAGAGACAAGGGGGCTAGAGTCCTGTTTAAGTGGCAAAAAGACCAATGGCTCTGTTAAAAAGAAAAAGAAAAAAAATCTTAGCATCTCCAGTGCTCATCAGACAATCCCCATGGCTGCTTTCCAGAACAGAATGCTCATTTCTCCCCTGAGCCCAGGACTGCAGCAGAGGCAGAAGCACCTGGACATTTCTTTCTGACTTGTGGCCTGAAACTGTACATCACCGACCCTTGCTGTGGGCTGGAGGAGGGGCAAATGGTTATGAAAAACACTCCATAGAGGAAGCACCTAGAAGGTTGAAAGGTCGTAGCCAGATACTCGGGCAGGTAACATGAGCAAGAGACATTGAAAGAGGATATGGGGACTAAGGAAGAAGCAAATGCTATGTAACCTCCTGACAGTGTTGGATGTCTCAACTTTTATGTCCCACATGTTATCCTGGCTGCGAACCACCAGTATAGATTCGTTCAAGTCCTATTCCAGCTTTGAATTGCTGAAAGCCTGTGTCCTTCACAGGGCATAGAGCAGGTAGAAAAACTAGAATTTGAATATTATTTGGAGTTTAATTGACATCAGTCAGTATCTTAATTTGAACTTTTAAGCAAAACACTCCCTTTAAATGTTATAGAAAGAATTAACACAATTTATGACAAACACAAAAAATGGCAGGATAAAGCTGATGAAGGACAGAGGTGATCATATTTTATGACTGTCTGGTTAAGTAAGCTATCTTTCATGTGGAAGGTTATATTGTTTGTATTTTATTTAAATCTTCTCCTTTCCTCCAAGAGAACTGTTACATATCTGACCCTGTTCTTGACTCCCAGAATTTATGTTGGATATATATCTAGGAGTAGAACTGCTGGGTCATATAGTAACTCTGTATTTAATTTTTTGAGGAACTGCCAAAATGTTTTTCACATCCGCTGTACCATTTTACAATCCCATCAGCAGTGTATTACAGTTCCATGTTCTCCATATCCTTATCAACACTTGTTACTTGTCTTTTGAGTATGGCCAACTGTAGTGAGTATAAAGTGGTATCTCACTGTGGTTTTGATTTGCATTCGCCTAATGGCTAATGATGTCAAGCATCTTTTTCATGGGTTTATTGGCCATCTGTGCATCTTTTTTTGGAGAGATGTCTATCCAGACTCTTTGCCCAACCTTAAAATTGGGTTATTTATCTTTTTATTATTACTGAATTGTAAGATTATATAGATAAATGAGCTAGGAGTCCCTTACTATAATAGATATGTGCTTTGCAAATATCTTCTCCCATTCTGAGGGTTGTGTTTTCACTTTCTTAGTAGTGCCCTTTGAAGTACAAAAGTTTAGAATTTTGATGAAGTCCAACTCTCCCCCCCCCCCTTTGGTTGCTTATGCTTTGGGTGTCATATCTAAAAATCCATTGCCAATGTTTTCTTCTGATAGTTGTACATTTTTAGTTCATTCGTTTAGGTCTCTGGTCTATTTTGAGTTAATCTTTGTATGGGGCATGGTAAAGGATCCAACTTCATTCTTTGAGTTCTGGTGCTGGGGTCAGAGAGATGTGCCTCTCTCTGAGTGACACCCCCACTTTAGGAGCTCAGTGCTTGGGAGAGAGGGACAGTAGTCCCAGGGCCCCAGTGTTCTCAGGGGTGCTGTGCCCACAGCAGAGCCCTCATCCCAGGAGGAGGTAGGACTGGGCTAAACAAGGGAGCCCGCACCTCTGTGCTGTATTTGATGGGACCGTAGCCTCAGCAACAGGCATCCAGGGACAAGATGATAAATGCTGATGTCCTCTCCCTGCCAGGAAGGTACCCCCGCCCATGGTAGCTTGGGGGAGAGGAAGCCCAGTATCTGGGCTGCACCACTGTGGAGTGGAGTTTTCCTCTCGCTGAGCTGCCCTTCAGGCAGGGAGGGAGGTGTTTGGTTCAAATACCACAGACTCACGTCATTATTGTGATTTTTCTTAAATGTTCTTCATTTGCCTTCTTTTGACTAGGATTTTGGACCACTTCCAGAGATTTAAATAATTTTTTGAAAATAATTTTCCCTAGTTTTGCTGTGGGGTTGGTGGTGCAGAGAGGTCCTCACTGTCCTGCTGCTATTTTTGAGAACTCAAAACCAGAGAGACTGTGGGCAGTGGAAAACCAGAAAACTCAAATTCCGGTGCCCATATCATAATTCACTCGATACATATTGATTAAGTATCACTTATGAAAATGGCTCAGAACTGAAAATGGATTGAGTTGACCGTAACCAAAGCAGGGAGCTCTGACTTTGCAGACACACCATTATCCATACACTTCATGGAATGGCTGCTATGTGTGAGGTGGAAGAATAGAAGCTAAAAAAAGCTAAAAACCTATTTTAGAAATTGGAGAGTTTCACGAAAAGAGAGCTAATAAACCAAGGCAGCTTATATTAAATGCCCAGAGAATAAATGCTCCAGCTTTTCAGGGGCACAAGAAACTACCCAGCACCAGAGTGGTCAGACCTGGAGGAAGAAGGAGCTCAGCCAGGTTTGGAGAACAGTAGGGCTCAGCCCTGTGTGTGTGTGTGTGTGTGTGTGTGTGTGTGTGTTGGGGGAACACACATTCCAAGGCAGGGATGCTGAAGAGGGATTGGACTTGGCATGCTGGAGCAATAGTGTGCAGACCTCCCTGCCTGCCCAAAGGTCTGTGAGGAGAGACCACGCTGAGGGAAGGAGGTGGTGACCAGAATAGCAGGGCAGAGGAGGGCTTGGCTGTTGGGCCCTGGAGCTTGGTCCCTATCTTCTGGGCTGCCGAGAACAGTAAGTTCTTTTTAGAGCAGAGTGACTGGGACAAAGAGGTATTTAAGCAAATGGCTTTGCCTATAGTGTGTAGATGGAATGAAGAGTGAGTGTGTGTGTGTGTGTGTGTGTGTGTGCATGCGCGTTTGCACGCAGTGGGGACCCTGGAGGCAGAGACCAGTTCTTAGACAGTTGGAACGAAATGACAGTCCGGAGGGGAGAGGGGAAGGAATGGGAATAAGTAGTGAATAGTAAGATATAATCATGTCTTCAATAAGGCCAAGCAGTTTTTAAAAGCACCCCAAATTAAAAAAAAAACACCCCAAATCCTGGAATGCAATGTCTGACCTAGCGATTTAAGACACCATGCACATTTGAAAGATAGATTTCTCATGCAGTAGCTAAACGGATCTTTTCATTTTTTAACTTGCATGCATTTTTCCTATTACTCCACATTCCAGCTTCTTCACAATTTTCCTTAATTCGACCTCCAATTAAGTTCTAGCGTGCATGTGCAGAAGAGGACCCAGTCCAGCCCCCACAGCGGCAAAGACTGTGCACGGCTTTCTGGATGTTTCCTCCCTGGAAAACAGTCTCCGTGTAAAACGGGAGGCACTGGCCAACTCGAGCTTCTTCGGCAGGTGTAATGTGACCTTCAAAACTCCTTCGGACCAGCAGCTCCCCGGGGGCCGCCTCTCCCTCAGACTCAGGTGGGCTGCGGCTCGCGGGTCTGAGGCCAGAGTTGGCAAAAAGAATTCAAAAAACACGGACAAACAAACAAACAAACAAACCACGAAACCCTATGCCTTCCCGCTGTGGGCTTCTGAGTGAAGTCGCGGAAAGGAGGTTCTGTTCTTGCTCTTTTAAAATTCCAGTGCAGCGGGCACACATACACACACACTCACTCACACACACTCACTCTCTCTCTCTCTCTCTCTCTCTCTCTCTCTCTCTCTCTCTCTCTCTCTCTCTCTCTCTCTCTCTCTCTCACACACACACACACACACACACACACACACACACACACACACACACTCACACACGCACACCCGTCGGTAGGCTCTTCCCAATCTCTGCCACCCCCCACCCCCACCCCAGGTCCTGATTCATGAACCGCGCCACCTTTGTCTGCTTTACACCGTGCGGACTATTTTAACCGCCGCCCCCAGCGCAGATCCCCCTCCCTCTCTCCCTCCCCCCCCCCCTCCCTCCCGGGGCGGCTCCGGGGCGGCGCCCGCTGGGGGCGCGCTGCTCCCCGCCGGCTGGGGCGCGATCCCGGGAGCCCGATCCCGGGAGCCCGCGGGGACCTCCCTGCGGGGCCCGCGCTCGGCCCCTTTCAGGCGTCGCTCCCCGAGGTGCGGGCCGGGAGCGGGTCCCCAAGCAGCCGGCCGGGGCGTCCTGCCGCCCTGCCCGCCCCTCCCCTCCCGCCCCCGCGGCTGCGAACCATGTCCTCCTCCTCCTCCGCCAGGAACGGGGCCGCGGACGGGCCGCCGTCGCCCCCCTCGCAGGTACCGCCCGCCCCCGCCGCCCCCTCCGGCCGCCCCGCGGCGCCCCGCCTTCGCCTTCCTGCGGGCACCGGGCCCCCGTCCCCACCCCTCCGCGTCCCTTCCTCCTCCCGTTCCTCCTCTGTCTCCTCCTCCTCCTCCTCCTCCTCCTCCTCCTCCTCCTCCTCCACCTCCACTCCTCGCTGCGCTCCCGCTCCGAGCCCGCAGCCTCCCCCAGCGGATGCCGGGGACTCGGACCCCGCACCGGAGAGGCTTTGTTAATGGATGTGGTGGGTGCCCTGGGGCTGCTCCCCCCGGGCGGGCATCCTCTCGGTGGTCTCGGATGGGAGGGGGTGGGAGGGGTGGGGAAGGGTGGGGGCTGGACTTGGGGTGGGGGCGGCGGAGACTTGGGTGCGGGCTCGGGGGACCCCGGGGAGCTGGCGGAGAGGCGGCCGCGAGCCGGGGAGGTGGCTCCTGTCCGCGGTGCGGTCCTCACCCGCCTCTCCCCGGTCCCGGTCCAGGTGGCCCGAGGCACCACGACCCGGAGGAGCAGGTTGAAAAGATCCGATGGCAGCACCACTTCCACCAGCTTCATCCTCAGACAGGTAGGAGGCGGGCAAGGCGCGGAGGGTCCGGGGTCCGGGGTCCGAGAGCCTTTCCCCGCTCCGGGCACGCCCGCTGCGTCCCGCTTGCTCTGCCCGGCCCGGCACCGCACCGTCCTGGGAAGTTAGTTTGTGCGTCGGGACGCGCTGGTCTGGGGGACCCGGCTGAGCGCAGGGACTTTGCATTGGAGACGGGAATGCTCCTGGGGCATCCTCAGTACGTGGGGAGTCTATAAGTTGTGTAACTGGACATGGAGGAACCAAAGCCCGTGGGGCCGGGCACCCGGTATGACTGGGCTGAGAGTTAACGGGTCTCTCTTCTTTTTCGAATACTCTTCTTTGTCTGGGTTCTTGGGAGAGATCTCCAAACTCTTAGTCTCAAGACAGACAATTAGAGCGGAAAGTTAGGGCTCACTTTCGGACTGCTTCCTTGTTTCTCTAAATTAGGGAGATAGCTGGATCTGTTTAAGTGGAGATAAGCGAAGGCCGGCGCTCAGTTCACTTAATGTTTGTTTCGTGTGTGTGTGTGTGTGTGTGTGTGTGTGTGTGTTTCTTAGTGGTTGTTTTTTATTTCTCTGCTAAAGATTGCAGGTTACACTGAATGCTTAGGTTTAGGTGCCTTTTATCTCGACCCAGGATATTGGCCCTTAATTTTTGTACTGACAAGTGCTGTAAATGAAACCACTTCTACATATCTGCTGGGTGGTAGGGAGAGCATTAAAAAAAGAAAGGGGGAAAAAAAAAAAAAAAGAAAGGAAGGAAGAAAAAGGAGTCACCTTGATCTCTTTTTGGAACAGATTTGTCAAGGATTGTGTTAGGGGTGACCTGGGAGGACTTTGGTCATTGCACCAAGACGCTTTTATTCCAGCCTCCACTGTGGACTGCTGGAGTGACCTTGGCAAGTTCTTTTCCCTCCAGGCCACTCGGAGCTTTGTGTAATGTGCTTTTAACCTATGGCGGCGGCTTTGCTGTGTTTCTTTAGGGATTTTCTCATCAATTTGATCAGGTTATCCATGTTGAGTGGGCATTAGACTACAAATTGGACTCAGACCTCTCCTACAGGGTCCATAAAGCATAATTAAATATTTATCATGTAGATATTCATCTTCTGCAGAGACAGATATTATTACTTCTCTTTTATTCAATAGCACTAAGATGAGCTATATTAAAATAAGTATATTTGGATTCTGAATTCATTCTAAAAATACATTCTGTTCCTTTTGCTGTGTTAAATTATTTACATGTTTGATAAGACATTCTTCATCTTTAAACAAATTTCAGTTATATTACTGAGGTCTTGTTGTTTACTGGATAGGTACTTATTTGTGGTAGTTTTATTGTTGTAAAATCCTTAGACATTATACAGCAGCGTATTCCACAAACTGTTTGACTACAGCGTTTGAGTTCATCTACACAATTACGTTGCTAACGCTTTATTCTTCCAACCACGAACAATATAGTCAATATTCTCTCTAATATTCTGTCCTCAATTTGCTCCGATAACTGATTAAGTGAGATGATACATGTATAAGTTCTTGTGAAGTGTGCTGGTATGTGTTAATGTAAACATATGAAAAGTGTTGCATGGTAAATAATTCCGATGCAGATTTTTAGAACAAATATGTTTCATAAGTCTTTCTGAATCTGGGATTTGTTAGTTTAACAAAATGGTCGAATTAGTTTTGATTATATCATATACACAACCTTCCTATTTGTTTTTGCAAAAAAATACATAGCTTTTTGTAAGCACATGCAGTTCAGAAAGTATCCTACCCATGATCTAATTTAAGTGGCATAATACAGATATCTATAATGGCTGCAATAAAAAATAAATGAGGGAATTTTATTTCTTTGAGAAGGTACAAAAATGATTACAAATGAAATGTAATAGTGTGTTATTTGAAATAAAATTGAACAGTTTTCACCCCAATGCTAAAATAATTTTTTAAGCACAACAGCTCTTGATGTTATTAGAGCCTCATTATTTGTTGAATGACCAATGATTCATTATTTTTGAATTCATGATACATTGGAGTGCTGGTGATATTTCCAAGTTTGTATGATGCCTTTGCACATGAAGAAGATAATTGCAATATCAATAAAACAGTGCTGCTCATTTCTCTTCATATTATTTACAAATATATGGAAAGAAAGCTTTTGCTAAAAAAAAATTGATGTGTCAAATCTGATGGGTAAGACTGGACTGGTGGTGAAGAACAGAGAATAGTTGGCAAACTCAATAAAACAGTGTTTATTCTTAAAGCTGGTAAAAACGTTAGTGTTCTATGTGTATATATGTACAAACCCATGTGCACAAACCCACATATGCACACCCGTGAGCTGGCCTGAAAGTAAGCAGAGTGAGAAAGCGAGCATGCTCTTTCTGAGGACTGTGCACAGAATCTCTCCCCTTTCTTGACCTTTGTTTCCTGGTTTACTGGATTGCTGGCTTCTACAGTTTAGGAAGGATGGGTGTTTTGGAATGGATCCAGGGAGCAACTAAGTGGTTTCTTTGGGGAAAGGTGAGAACATTAAGTGTTTTTCCAGTGAAAGGGGAGAGCGCTAGGGGTGACCCAGTAATAATCTTCAAACTGCACAGAAAGGCATTCTTTGGAAATGTGATGGACTGCTTTTGGGCTTCATTGAAGATGAAACTTAAGAACTGGCTAAAATTAAAAAGGAATGAGGTTTTAGCCCAGCTCGAGTGGCTTAGTTGGTTGCATGTCATCCTATGCACCAAAAAGTCCCCTTCTCTCTCTTTCTCTCCCCCCCCCCCCCCTTAGGTGGGGATTTAAAATAAAATAAAATAAAATAAAATAAAATAAAATAAAATAAAATAAAATAAAATAAAGGAAAGAGGTTTTACAGCGAAACGTTCCTAAGAGTATTGCTAGCATTGGAATGGCTTTCCAAGCGAGGCTGTAGAATTTCTCCCAGGAGATTACTCTGACAGGCTGAATGGATTATTTATTCATGTTTTACAATTTTAGGAAACATGTATTAAACATTTGCTATGTGCTCAGCAGTTTGCTAGATACTGTGAAAGAAGAATGAAAAAGATGAATGATGGGACATAGCCCCTATACCTAAAGGGTCTTATAGAGTAGTATGGAGACATAATTGTATAGAAATGAAATATTTATGTATAGCATAGTGTGTAGCAATATAGCAAGGAATGAGAGCATGAGCAAAATGCCCATGTGCGCTGAGCATTGAAATACCTATGGATGTCCCTGCCCGTACAGTTAGTATGGTGGACGTTACTCTCCCTTAGGTTACTCCCAATTTTCTCCCCGTTGCAGTTTGAAAAGGAAATCTGATCAGGGTGGGACTGATAGGTTGAACTCTTCTTATAAGTCTGCCCTTCTGAAGATGGCAGAGTCTTTAGAAGGCCTGGCCCCTAAGCCTCTTCCTGAGTCCATATCTCTTAGTTCTGAACACAGGTCTAACATACCACCCTCTCTCCTGCCATAGGCCCTTTGCACATTCTGAGAGCCCTCTCTATGGAGTGCCTTCTGCCTACTTAATTTTTAATCTTCCTTGAGATCTAACTTGAGTCATCACTTCTTTTTTTAACCCCTTTGATGAGGCCGCTTCCTTAGCCATGCTCTTCATCTCAGAGTGCATTATGCTAGCTCTCACCACTACTATAATTTAACACGTCATTAGATTTCTCTGTTAATATCTCTCCCCCCATCCAGATAATATTGTAAGTTCCGCCAAGGCAGGGACATGTCTGTATTTGGTCTCCTTTGCATCCTCAGCATTTAGCTTAGTAGATGTTCAAGAAATACGTATTCATTTGAATGAATTAAGAAAACGGGTGGATACTGGACTAGCTTGACACATTTTAGGCATGGAGTTCTGCTTCCACATTTAACTTGTTTAATGGGAAGAAATTGCTTCCTAACAGACCTTCATAAAAGGTAGTGGTTTAAAGCAACCGCACTTTAAAAAAAAAAATTTTTTTTTTTTCTGTGGGCTGGCCAGACAGTTCTGCTTTCTGTGATGTTATCCCGGTACTGGCATGACGGAAGGGTCTAAAATAGCTCACGTGGTTGGGCAGTTGGTGCTAGCTGCTGGCTGAGAACTAACCTAGCGCTTTGGCAGGAGGCTCAGCTTTCCTCCACCCAGCCTCTCCGTGTGCTTGCTGGAGCGTCCGTGGTGGCTGGGTTCCTAGAAGGAGCGCCCCAGCAGGAATGGCTGAAGCTGCAGATTTGGTGAGACCTCGTATCAAAGGCTCGCTGGCACTACTTCCACTCCAATCTCTTTAGTCAGAACAGACCAAAGGGCCAGCATGGTCTCCGAGGGAGGGTCAGTGGACTCTGTATTTCACTGGGGTGCAGCAAGGCCGCCTTATGAAAGAGCACGTAGAACAGAAGATACTGTTGTAGACATCTTTGGAGCCGTCTATCTTAGAGCAAGGAACCTTTTATTTTTTAGGTATGCTAATCAAACGCTCATTACCATCCTTCAATGAACCCACACTGTATTTAGAGGTCTAAAACATATTGAGATACTAAGTTGATACTATAATAAAACACGCTGGCAAGAAGGATTCTTTGGGTTATAATGTGAGCACTGATTATAGAAACCTTTTTCTGATGAAATGCAAGTTTTCTCCATTGAAATGCAAATTCATCAACAGACGGTATATATACTTTGTACATAGCTCTAAGAATAAATCATATGCCCAGAGGCATAATATATGCACAAAATTTATTTATAAACTTAGATTCACAGAATTTTAGAACAGGAGGAGATTGCAGAGGGAAAGTGCTACAATTCCCCATGTTCAGATAAATAAAACGGAGACCATGGGACATACAGGCCTCACCAAAGTCACGCTAGTTGGTAGCAAGACAGTCTTAGATTCTACAGTTTTTCCACCATAACCTCTTTGTCCCCGAAGAATCAAGACAGACATATAAACACACAGAGATGTGGATACATGAAAGGCTATGTGGGGCTTATTCCTCTGAGGTCCTAGAGATATTCTTAATTCGTGTGGTTATTGTGGAGAACAGAGCAACAATGGAATAATCTGAAGACTGTATTTCTCCCCCCCTTCCTCCACTCCCCACTCCCCAACCCCATTTTATCATGAGATAAAATTTTTGTTTGCATGGTTTATGGTTACATAGAGGGTTTTTTTGTTTGTTTGTTTTTTGTTTTATCTATTTATTTATTTGTTAGTCACTGTATACCCAGAGTCTAACAGAAATAAAGCTATGTGAGTTTTCACAACTGAGGGACTTGAATGTAGAGACATGGTTAAGCAGGTGGTGAGAGAGGTTAGATGCTGAACTTGGATGTTAGCAATGACAGGAAGCCACAATCACCTCTTGGCTAGAAGAACAATGGGAGGAAATGGTTATTGGAGCCCAGGGGCCAGCAACGCCTGGAAGGTGCTGGAACCACGGGGGTGCTGTTCTGCAGGAGCGAGAGAAAAGGGCATCACCGCACACTGTCAGAGCAGCTTTTATAAAAAGGACAAGAAATAACAAGTGTGGTGAAGACATGGAGAAAAGGGAACCCTTGTGCGCTGTGGGTGGGAATGTAAATTAGTGTAGCCATCATGGAAAACAATATGGAGGACCCTCAAGAAATTAAAAGTAGAATTACCACATGATCCAGAAATTCAACTACTTGGTATTTATCCTACACAAACAAAAACATTCACTGAAAAGATAACCTCCTGTTTATTGCAGCATTATTTACAATAGCCAAGATAAGGAAACAACCAAAGTGTCCATGGATAAAGGAATTGTGCTGTAGCCAGCTGGCCTGGCTTAGTGGATGAGCATCAACCTATGAACAAGGAGGTCACAGTTCCATTCCCGGTCAGGGTACATGTCCAGGTTGTGAGCTTGATCCCAGTAGGGGAAGAGCAGGAGTTAGCCCATCAGTGATTCTCTCTTATTATTGATGCTTGTATCTCTCTCTCCCTCTCCCTCTCCCTTCCTTTCTGAAATCAATAAATATATTTAAAAAAAAAGAAATTGTGGTGTACATATTATGCTATATTATTCAGCCATAAAAAGAGGGGAACCTTACTACTTGCAACAATATAGATGGAACTTGAGAGCATTATGTTAAGTGAAATAAGTTAGACAGAGGAAGACAAATACTGTATGATCTCATCTTTATGTGGAATCTAAAAATAAAAAAACAAATAACCCCTCCCACAAACCCCAACCTCATAGATACAGATGTCTGATTGGTGGTTACAGCGGTGGGGATGGGTGAAATGGGCAAAGTAGGTCAAAAGGTACAAAATTCAGCTAATTATCCTATATAATAAAACCATAATATGAAAATCCACTGAACGGCGGAACAACCGGTTGCTATGACTCACACTGACCACCAGGGGGCAGATGCTCAACCTAGGAGCTACCCCTGGTGGTCAGTGCACTTCCACAGGAGGAGCACTGCTCAGCCAGAGGCCGGTCTCACAGCTGGCAAGAGCAGCAGTGGTGGCGGGAGTGTCTCCTGCCTCCCTGGCAGCACTAAGGACCCCTCAGACTGAGAGGGCGCAGGCCTGGCTGAGGGACATGTCGTGCGTGCACCAGGCCTCTAGTAAAATAAGTAAGACCTGGGGATGACCATAGTTAATAAGTAATATTCTCTTGAATATTTGGAAGTTGCTAAGAGAGTCGATCTTAAAACTTTTCATCACAAGAAAAAAATTATAACTATCTGTGAATGGTGATGGATGTTAACTAGATTTGTGGTGATCATTTTTGCAATATGTGCAAATACCAGATCATTATGTTGTACACCTGAAACTAATTTTATTTGACAATTATATCTCAATTAAAAAAACACACACACAACAACCCAGAGAGAGACACAGAGGAGATGCAGCGTCTGCCAAAGAAGCCACTTGAAGTGGAGAGAATGGGGGAAATACCTTGTCTTCTTCCCCCCCCCACTTTCAACTCCCCCCCTCTACTCTTCCCCCCCCCCCCCCCCCAGCTCCCTGGGGTGCCTCCCATTGGCTGAGCCCTGCCGGGAGCCAGCTAACCCAGGACCTGGGAGACAGTCTGCAGACCTCTCAGATAGAAAGGAAAGCACAGAGGGACAGGGGAGGAGCAAATCTGAGGGAAACAGCCAAGACTGACACAGCCGTTATTATATTTTAGTTGAATGGAAGGACAACCATGAAGCCTTTTTTTCACCAGCAAAATGGGAAGTTTTTGT